TTATTCAAAATAAGTTATAATCACTTACTTTTATTAGTAAGATCATCAGTTACATTTTACAGTGCACCAAGAAACAGGAACAGATTACAGACAGAAAATCACACCAAGATAATTTATCGTTTTTAACATAGAGGAAACAGTGTAGGACGATGCAGTAGAACAGTAGACACGTACATTCAGGTAACAACAATGGAATCTTTCATAACGTTACTGTGTTAGGCAGTATCTTCATTAGCATCTGAGAGACACGGAATGACTTTGAGTGAATCTATGATTTACATTTAGAGAACATGATGACGACTATGCAATATTTTTTCTGTTACTCTTATGCAGTATTGAATAAGAGTTTAGGGAATGGGTGAACATTTTGTCATTGATTGTTTTTAGACTTTAAATTTAATTGTGAGATAATTTCGTTTTAGGAATCTGTTAAGGACAATCACAAAACCCAAAGTCCAGAGAGCTGAGATGGTAATCGCATATCACATTACTTTAGACACTAATGTAAAAGAACAACATTAAAAATAAGAAATAATGGTATAATGGTTCTCACACACAGGAACACTCTTTGGTTTAATAAAACAGGTGATGATAGGATGGGTGATCGGTTTCGGGCAGTATTTACTTTATCAGTGCAGCTGATGGAAATTCACCACATCACACAGATCATGCTATGAGAGCGGCAGAATCAAGGACAGTTAATAGTCATGTAGAAAAATCATGGAACTGCAAAATTTGTGCTCTGTTGATTGTAAAATACACTCTAAATGGCGGAAATGTGAGATTTTAAGTCATTTGCGTGAAAGGTTGCGATTGTTATGCTAACGTTTTTAGCTGAAAATCATCTCTCCGGAAGTGTTACATTGTCACTTCTAGTGAGCAAAGGCCTTAAATACAAGTGGCAGTAAAATCAGACAACATTCAGGATGATTGACCACTAATATGAAATGTAGCATCTTAGCAACTGGCTATTTTGTTTAGCTGTTGAAGAACGCCATTCTAATCAGCTAGCACATCCATATCATACACATTCATATATTTTAATTAACTTTCTTGTTTCTTGTTTTTAATTAAGTTTCTTGTGTTACATGGCAGGACAGAACGCTATGGCATCACTGTGACCGTGTGCTATAAATCGACACTATTTTATTATCTAAACTGGGTTTTACTTTTAAAGCCACGGTTTATATGCTTTCTAGAAACACTGAATAACATTTTTTATTTATATGCACACAAGCCAGTGTGGATCGAATGGAATGTCTGGAATATTTGGAATGTTCAAAACAACAGAATGGCAGCCTGATTCCTAGTATTTTTCTGAATCTTAAAATTTGCCTGTGTTTAGACATACACAATGATCTGCGACTAACAGGTTTTCCTGAACGCATTGTTATTTACAATAATTGTGGACGTAATCTAATGAGAATACAAGCATACTCTATCAAACCACGGCGTAGCTTATAATTTTTTTTTCTTAGTAAAAAAAGAGAGAATGGATAATACAATCTGACTCTGCATCTTTCAAATCTGATTTTCTCATTATTGAGGAATTCAGTCCCGCTGTTTTCCCTCTTTTCAATGCAGTTACAACAACAAGAAATAATGTCATACATAAACTACCAACAAGCAAGCATAAAAACACAAGTCAGATCCTTTCGTCTCTCATTAAACAAGAGCCAGGCTTCATTTAGAGATCCTAAAAAGTAGGAATCACGCAACTTTCTTCTCCAGTTTACTGTTACTAAGCTCATTTGACTGATACTAGGAAGACGACGCAGCATTTGGACACAAACATTCTCAAATAAGCTGAATACATAATCATGAAGATTGTCTGTTATTGCTGATTTGGGAGCAGAGTCTCGTATACAACCAACGGACACAGGACATCTTCATTCAGAAACAAATATTGCACCGTTGTCACTGTCTGTTTACGTAATGTGTGCTCACAATCACATTGTAAGAGCTAACGTAAATAAATGTAGACACTAAGACCTAGATTCTACTGTACAGCAGTGAAGATGAAGAGATTATATATTTATATATGTATATATGTATATAGCCCTATTGATCCAATTTGTAGTTGTATGTGATCGATGTCAACCCTCACATTCTTAAGTACTGTAAAAAGCACAAATAAGTCAATTCTAGATGAGCGCTAAGCACTAAAGTTTCACTCGCGGCAGCTAGCAAACACATGTAATTTCATTTTAATCGATCAAATCCAGTTTACTAGAGTGTGATGGGAATGTGCGTGACAATGTAATGATGGACGTACTGTATAGTTTCTTTTTCTCTAAAGGCGGGCGTACACTGTGCGATTCTGAAGGTCGGAACGTCGTGAGCTCTGGCACATGTCACGACTGAGTTTATCCGAAAATCGTATGGAGGCAGTCACACACGACACGAAATTACTATGATTTTACAAACTCTGATGTAAGCATTACGTTTCGCGCCATTCATAAAAATATGGATTCTGAGGACGAAATAGTTTTCTTTGTGGCAGGCGGCTTGTGACGTCCAAAAAAAAAAAACGAAGACAAAGGACATGGCAAAGAGAATGGCTGAAAAGCAGAGAAAAGCATGGACTTTCTGTTGTTCATAAAGAACTCGAGGGAGTAGGCCATTTCTGAATTTCTGCTCGTTTTGCCGGAAATACAACAGGCATATTCATTCATAAAGCTGAACGGCAAATTTGGCACATTCGGAATAACAAATAAAAAATAGAAATGTATAATGAAACTAAAATTATTATAGACTATATGGTTTTTGTCATCTTCTGATTGGTCAACTTCAGATGGATCGCCAAAT